GCCTCCTCACTGATCCTCAGGCACATCTAGCACCTCCTGCCCCCTGGTCCTTGCTGCTTCTGCTTCCTCTGCCTGCAATGATCTCCTTCGTATTCTCACTGTAATCAGATCTCTGCTCAAACTCACCTCACGTAAAATAAGAAATCTGAAATTTACTTCAAAATAATTCACCGAGGAAGAGGGAGCAGGTGAATAACGAAACAGCATTGGTTCAAGTTAATAATTGTTGAAGTTAGGTGATGGATACATGGGGGTTTTTATACTATTTTTTGATTTATGTTTGAAATTTTCTAAAATAAGAAGGGTTCTTTTAAAAACTCATCATTATGTTACTCTCCATTTTTGCATGTTTACTTTTTCCATAATAAAAAGTTTAACTTGCCTTGTTCGTTATATTATTCTCTCTACTTTCATGTACATTTGAAATGTTCCAAGATAAAAACTTTTTTAAAAAAAAGTATCACAGGGCTTCCCTGGTGGCGCAGTGGTTGAGAGTCCGCCTGCCGATGCAGGTGACACGGGTTCGTGCCCCGGTCTGGGGAGATCCCACATGCCGCGGAGCAGCTGGGTCCGTGAGCCATGGCTGCTGAGCCTGCGCGTCCGGAGCCTGTGCTCCACACCGGGAGAGGCCACAACAGTGAGAGGCCCGCGTACCGTGGGCCCGCAGCCCGAAAAAAAAAAAAAAAAAAAGTATCAGGGATCTTTTTCAACCATCCCCATCAGCTCTTCCATCACTCCCCACATGCACCTGACACACTAACCTCTTGTCTTGCTTTTATTCTTCATAGTACCAATACTTATCTCTAACATATTATATGTTTATTTGGTTATTTTCTGTCTCTACTAACTAAAATATCAGCTCCATGAAAGAAAGAACCTTGTTTGCTTTCACTGCTTGATTCCCAGACATTGTAATAGTGCCTGGAACATAGTAAATATCTTTATAATGAATATTTGTTGAGTGAATCCCATTTTAAAAATGAGGAACCAGAGGTATGGGCTGATTCAGCAACTCACTCTAAGCTGCCCAGCAAGTCAGTGGTGAGGCCAGAACTTAAATGCTGATCTAGGCCTCCTCTGTCCCCCAGAAGCTTAGAACCTATCCTTCATTTCTACACATACACGTATACACATGCGCGCACACACACACACACACACACACACATATACACAGGTGATGTTACCTGGTGGCACATGAACCAGGACCAGGAAAGCCACAAAAAGCAGAAGCAGCTGTGTCATGGCCACAGGGCTCTAGAGCTGGGCAGGGGGCCACTGGGGAGAACACAAGAGAAGAGGAAGCAAGCACACCGAGTCTTGCTGCCTATAGCCCAGCCTTTATTGGGCTGCAGATCAAGGCAGGAGTGTGGGCAGCAGGAGACCTAAGTGGGAGTCTGAGGCCCTGTGGCCCCAAGGATATAGTGGATCTCAGCCAGCTATGTGGGGAACTGATCAGCCATACCATCTGGAGGTTGCTGAGCTCTGAAGCTGGGGACAGAATGTCCTGAAGCAATGCTTGTGGTCAGAAACTGTACCTCTCCCCCACCTGAGAGGGTGGGGAAAGCCTTGGTTTCACAGAGACCTGGTTCAATGCCAGCATCTCCCTCTAATCACTATGATATATCTTGGACAAGTAACTTAGCCTCTCTGAGCTCCAGGTTGTCATCTAGGAAATGATGACAAGCCTCCCTTGCAAGACTAAATACATGGAGGTTCCCTTCCTATGCCGAAGACACGGGACCAGAACTCACTGACGCGTTCAAACAAGCATGTACAGTTGACCCTTGAACAACACAGGGGTTAGGGGCGCCAACCCTCAACGGCAGTCAACAATCCACCTATAACTTATAGTTGGCCCTCTGTATCTGCAGTTCTTCATATCCGAGGTTCTGAATCTGCAGATTCAACCAACCTCAGATCATGTAGTACTGCGGTATTTACTACTGAAAAAAATACTTAACTGGACCTGCGCACTTCAAACCTGTGTTGTTCAAGGGCCAACTGTATTTTGGCCTACTCAGAAAATGAGAAGAGTAATAATGCAAACCTCACAGAAAGTAATGGATACCTAGCTCATTTAGAGGATTAAAGGAAATAATACAATGGTTCTCAAAGTGTGGTACCCAGACTAGCAAGCAGCAGCAATACCTGGGGCTTGTTAGAAATGCAAATTCTCAAGCTCAATCCAAACCCACTGAATCAAAAGTTCTGGGGGTGGATTTCAGCAAGCTATGGTTTAACAAGCCCTCCAGGTGATTCTAATGCACCACTAAAGTTTGAGGCCACTGAGATAATATGGGTACAGAGCTTAGAACAGTGTCTGGTACACAGGCATCTGAGTTGCATCTTGAAAGATGAGTAGCGGGGAGGGTATTCAGGCAGAAGGAACAGAATGTGCCTGAAAGAGTAGGGTATTGGCTAGAGCAAGGAGTTTGTTGGGAGAGATTGGAAATGACCTTGTAGACGACCAGAGCCAGAGCACAATGGGTCTTGAATGCCAAGTTCAGGCTTTTGTATTGTAGACAACTGTAAGTTTTGTAGCAAGGATGTAACCTGTTCAGATTTCAGTTTTGAATAGAGGAACTGAAACCCAAAAAGGGAGGTGACTTGCCTAAGGCCATACAGCAACTGAGTTGTCTCACTCCCAGACAGTGCTGCACCACTCACAGCCCATCTCGTAGGTGGCAAAGGAAAGCTTAGAGGGCCAAGCCACAGAAGGAAACCAGGCGTGAGGGGTTTTAGCATCTGCCCAAAGCCCTGCAGGGGCTGAGCTAGTCTACCAGGCTGCTGTGGGAGTCGCTCTGAGATGGACCCTTGGACCCCCTCAGCCATGACAATGAGCTCCACCCACAGGTACAGGCTGGTCGCCGTGGGGCCCACATACCTGCCTGACCCAGTCCATCATGACCTAAAAGGAAGCACCTTGCTCAAAGACCCATGGATGGCCAAAATCACAAGTTCCCTACAGCCAACTTCTCTTCTGTACCAAGTTCACAGTGTCTCTTTTCTCCTCCTACAGGCCTGGGAAGACTTGTGGGGGGGAGCGGAGGGCGCGGTGGCAGGGGAACCACAGACCGTGATAGAAAGGGACAATAGGCAGAGACCTGAATGCTAGGCCCAGGTAAGCCACAGTTTGCTCATCCTCTTAGTGTGGTATCAGGATTAAATGAGCTAATAATCCAGGCAAAGTGCTCAAACCATGCCAGGCACAGCACAAGTCCAGTAAATATTCATCAAGTAGGGGACAGCCATTCTTCCAGGCACAGGACAGCCCTAGCTGCATAAGGGGCGCTTACCCTAGAATCTGGTGAATGAATGAATGACCGCTGCCAAAACAAGACATTCAGAATCCTTCAGTGTAGACTTCCTGGGCTCCCTCCGCCCCTCAAGCCACTTCCCAAAATTAATTCTCAATCCGAAGCAGAGTTTCTCAAAGTGGGGTCTATGAACTCTGCATCAGGCTCACTTAGACACTTGTTTAAAATGCAGATTCCCGACCCTCTCTGCCAGGACTGCTGAATCTGCCTCTCTTGCAGGGTGGGACCTGGAATCTGAAGAGTTAACAAGTTCCCCAAGCGGTTTTTGTGAAGGCTAAAGTTGGTGTGCCCCATTGCTGGAGTGGATAGATGCAGATGCAGAGGGGATCCAGGCTCAGGAATTCAGAACCCGTATCCTTCCCCTCTCTCGCCCCCCACCCCTGGCTAAGGACTTGAAGCGGCGGGTCAGCTAAGCTCTGCGAAAAGTCATTCAGCGGCCAAGGCCTTGGGGCGGAGACCCCGGGGCTGCCCTAATGGGGCGGGGCTGGACGGGGCGGGGTCGCGGCTCCTCCTCCGGCCCGGGCGGCGGGGCGGGACCGGCCTGAGGGGCTATGCTGCGAGGCAGTGGTACAGCCTGGAGCACCCGGCAGCTGTGGCGGCCGGGGACCCTGGACCGCTCCCCACACTGAGGTAAAGGCCCGCGCAGCCCGCCAGCAACTTAGTCAAGTTGGTGCGGAGTTCGCCAGGCGCCCGTATGGGGCGGGGGGAGGGCTGGGGGGGGTTCTGCGGCACAGGCAGGTAAGAGGGGGTCCTCGAACCCGCGTCCCGGAGTGAGGACCCCCGGATCTCGGGCCCGGAGGGCTGTTCCCTGAGACAGGGAACCCTCCCGGGATCTGGGGACTCACACCCAGGACCCCCGGGCCGGGGAAGCTCGGACTCCGGGAGTGGCATGCCCTCCTGGGCCCTGTAGGTCTCCTCTCCCCCCGCCTCTCCACCGGGACCCCTTCCTGTCACCAAATCTGGGGTCCGGCTGCCTCGAAGCCCCCGCGCCCCCACAGCAGCTGGAGGCCGTAGTGCCAGCCGCTTCTGAATTTTTCACGGAGGGGGCGGGCCGGACACGCTGTTCCCATGGCACCGGGGCTCTCAGGTTTCAGCCGGAGGGAACCCCCAGACCCCCTAGCCTTTAGCAGGACCAAGCTGCCCGTCCTGCCTCTTCCTCAGCTCTCGTGGGATCGGGCAGCGGAAGTGAATCCCCCCGGGGCTCTCAACCCTCCTCCGTACCTCCCAACCCCGAACCGAACCGTGGGGAAGAGACCTGTGGGGAAGAAGAGAAGGGGGCAATTCAGGTGTCTTTCGTGAACGTGGGTCTCATGTTCTGAATGGGTGGGGCAGCTCTGTGTGCATACTTGTGTGGACATCCTATCTGGCTGCTGCCCCTCTGCCTATCTGTGTATCACAGGGGAGTGGGTTATCCTCAAGGCATAGGAAATGGCCTCTGGGTGTGCATGCATGTGTGTGTTCACACGCACTCACCCCTCCCAACCTGACCCAGGTTCTCTCTGGGCCTGAAGCCAGAAAGCCCCCACAGGGAGGATCTGAGGCGCCTCCTCCTCCCATCTGAACTCAAAGGAAGGAAGGACTGCTAGAAGGACTAGAAGGACGGCTCTGGAGGAGGCCGTCGCAGCAGCTCATCAGGACTCTACAGCAGAAGGGGCTCAAAGCACCTGGTCACCACCCACTCCCCCTTCCTGCCGAAGGAAAGAAGGAAATCCCCCTTCCCAAGGATGACACTAAATACTCAGCAAGAGGCAAAGACCCCCCTGCGTCGCCGAGCCAGTACTCCACTGCCCCTGTCCACCCGGGGCCACCAGCCTGGCCTCCTGGGCACAGCACCTTCTACACAGTCCCAGCATCCCCGACTGGGCCAATCAGCCTCCCTCAACAACCCCACCTGGCAACCTTCATCTGCCCCCAGTGGTTGGTCCTCTGAATCCAGCGACTCTGAAGGCTCCTGGGAGGCCCTCTACCGTGTGGTACTGCTTGGAGATCCTGGTGTAGGGAAGACCAGCCTGGCCAACCTCTTCGCAGGAAAGCAAGAGCGGGATCTCCATGAACAGCTGGGAGGTAGGGACCCTGTGGGCTGGGAAGGGATGCGGTCGATGGAGTGAAATCCCTGTTATCTGGGGCATAACGCTGCCAAGGACAGTTGTACAACTCATGCACTGCTCAACTCTGAGGGGCATCTTTCACATAGACTATGAAGTGAATGATCACCCCCTGGAGTTCTGCAGGGCACAGCCTGCACAAAGATCCACAGGAGGGAAATTCCTTGCATAGTGAATGAGAATTGTGCTAATTTCTCATGGGTGAGAGGTGTGTGATTCATTTTCATGTCATAAGGGAAGCAATTCTGAGTTCCACAGGTCCCAAGTATAAAGAAATGGTGAACCTCCTCCCAGCTCTCAGACCCTGCCCCACAGACAACCTCCATGCCCACCATGACCTGCAGCCAAACTAAGATCCTACCCAAAATGGAGACTCCCAGACTCTTAAGTTGGGCCCTGGGTTCCTTTATTCCCAAGAGGTGCAGTGAGCTGAGAGGGCCTGGGGTCCCAGAATGATGGGGATCAGGGACCGGACAGAGGAAATGAAGATGAGTCCCTGCAGGACTGGCAGAGAGGACCAGGGTGAGTGGGGGGAGAGGGGAGGTTAAAGGCAGAGAGGAGGTGGGGACACTCTGACCACGCCCTTTCTCCAGCCCTGACTGCTCAGAGTGTGAACCCATATGTACACATGTACACCGGTACGTATGACAGATAGGGAGACAGAGTTCCAGAGAGGGTAACGGGACCTGCCTGAGGCATACACTAAGCCAGGGACAGAGCACGACTGGGAGAACTCCCAGCCCAACTTTAACCCCACTGCCCCACACTCATTCAATCAACCAAACCAACAAAACCTTCCTCAGCACCTACTGTGTGCCAGGTACTGTGCTGGCAGCTGGTGGGACAGGGGCTCCTCATGGTGTTTCTTGGCCTATCAGGAGAGACAGACATCTAACAAATATGGTGAGCACTTCAAGGAGAAGTGGAGGGGGCGGAAAGAGGGGTTAGGGAGGCCTGCATCCTCGCCAGGCCTGCATCTCCTCCCTGAAATCCGTGTCTTTCCTCAGTTGCAGAAGATGTGTACGAGAGGACCCTCACGGTGGATGGAGAGGATACCACACTGCTGGTCATGGACACCTGGGAGGCTGAGAAACTGGTATGGCACAACAAGCAGGATTTGGGGGGAGGGGTGCTGAGGCTAGTACCAGATTCCTGTCCCCTCCTAGGACACTACAGAGCAGGGACAGGGCAGGGCCCATCCTCAGCACCTCCCCAAACCCACAGCTCCTAAGCAGCCTTTCCAACCAAAGCCAGGAGAACTTCATGACCCTGACCCCCTTTTCTCACTCCATTCATCCTCTCCTCACAGCCATCCCAGGATGTGCTTCTCCCCCTGCAAATCTTCCCCTCATGAGCACCCTTATCCCATTCCACCCACCCACATTGTACAGAAAAAGGAACACCAGATTTAGCCTGAGGTTGAACCCCCTCTTCCTTTGTCTTGCCAGTTGGCTTTGTGCAACTGACTTACCCACTCTGAGCTTCAGTTTTCTCACCTAATAAATGGGTGGATCATTCCTGCCTTCCTTACCAGCTGTTTTTTTTAAACTTCTTATGCAGTTTCACAGAGATAAGCACAGTTTGGAGCATGAAAAAATGCTGAACGTGAGTGAAGAATTGTAAATAATGATAATTCTTATCGATCATGACTTCATAGCTAGTAAAAAGAGGACACCAAAGATGTCCTTCCCTAGCCCATTCCAAAGCAGGAAGAGAGCAGTGGGCAGGGACATGTCCCCATTATGCTTTTCTTATCTTGCTTGAGTTTTCTTACCTTTGTTTATCCTGTTGAGTCTTTTTTCTTGCTATACAGGTAACACATGCTCATTGTAGAACTTTGAAGAAATACAACTAAGCAAAGAGAAGGATCTAAAAATCACCTGGGAATCCTATCTCTCTAGGGAGTAGGCCCCTCCCCTAACACTCAGGGAGGCCCCGCCCACAGGGTGGGGCTTAGGAGGGCAATGTTGGGTGATTGACAACAATGGCTGACAGCTCCAGAGATAGGCCCAAATTTAGGGATGAAGGAGTTATGAGACCAATTCCTTTTAACTAGCATAAAAGGAAACCCAGGTCCAAATGAGCATCATAATAATGATAATGGTTCTCCTAAGAGCAGCTGACATTTATGGAGCACCTTCTTCCTAAGTGTCAGCCCCTGTGCTAAACACTAGACATATATTTTGACATTCAGTCAAGACAAAAACTATACAATGAGTGTATTTCTGATTCCCATTCTACCAATGAGGAAATCCAAGCTCAGAGAGGTTATGTGTCCCAAGTTCTCAGATAGCAGGTGGGATTCAAACCCAGATTTTTAATAGCCCAAAGCTTATACTCTTATGCACTAGGACCATCCCCACTGGGAGCATCACCTTCTGAACCTCCATCTGAGGTTCCACTCCTTCACTCACTTGTTTATTAAGAAACACTGGCTGGCTGGTCCCCACCTCAGCCAGGGTGAAGGGACGGCACCATGACCAAACCCAGATATGCAAGGCCTGCCCGGGGGTCCAACGTCAGGTCCCTGCAGGCCCATCACACACAGCCAGCCTCAGGGCCAGCCTCAGGGCGGCAGCCCTGAGGGTCCCACATCCTAGGGCCAGCGGAAGGCCTTGGGGATCCAGTGGCCAGCTCACACCGAAGCTTTATTTTTAAAAAAAGAAAGGAAGGAAGAAAAAAGAAACACTGGCTGGATATTTATAATGGGCCAGGACACTGAAGACCCATCAGTGACTAAGGCAGACATGCCTCCTGGCCTCATGGAGCTCACAGACTGGTGAAGGAGGGTCTACTTTTTGGATGCAGTTGAGAATCCTATGGGACAGAGTCCAGTGAATTAAGAAGAGTGATCAGACTGGGAGTCCCATTTGGGAGACAGACTAGAAGGCAGGAATTGGAATTCTGTGCCCAGCTGGCTGTGTGGCCTTGAGAAAGTGTTCTCTTCTCTGGCCCTTGATTTCCCTACAGTTTCCCTGGC